CTAAAGGGCCAAGCTACACGAGCCCTTACAAACCTAGGCGCTGGAAGTCAGTGAGGGACGCAAATTCTCCGATGCTTCGCTTCGCATTTCCAAGACACAGAATTACAGAGTATTGGTACTCGCTCGCAGCTCCATATCAGCGATTATGAGTAGTTATTCGTTACTTTGAATCAGGAATTCTCAGCGCTTGTGCCAACGCGCAGTGTCTCATTAGCAAGGCCTTCCAGACCCCACCAGCAGCCAGGTGTACGTTAACGTCGACGACAGCGAGGCCGCCTGCACCGTCCGGGCGTCCGTCAGCTACTACCCCGAGTTCCCCGAGCCGACCGTGGCCGCAGGGCTCTTCTCGGAGGACCTCGGCGAGTACTCCGAGACGGTCAGCAACTGGACCGCCGTGCGCCACGCCAACGGCTCGGTCGCCTTTTCCTTCGGGGATCGCGTCTTCAAGGTCAGATGCTGCGGAAATGGGACGTGAGAAGGAAGAGGTCGAGGGCCCTTTATTGTTCTTATTCTTAAATCTCCCAGTATTATAGTTAGTAAATGAATCCATGTTAAACTGGTGCGTGCATGTGTTTGTACAAAAACGGAAATGCTCATGATCCATAAACTTTGTTTTTCTTCATTTTCCCTGCCTTCCTTTAGCATTTTGCATTTCCCCCTCGTAAGTCCGTTATATAATCTACTATGACATTTGTTGATCTTATTCGCCTTTCCAACCATGTACCTGGTCTGGCACTCTTCCATAGCAGCGACTTTCAGCCTCAAGTCCCTCTTCCCGCGCAGGTCGGCGCCGACACTCCGCCCGACGCGCGCTTCCAGAGCGAGATCGGCGTCACCAAGTCCGACGGGACGTACTTGGGCCAGTCGATCGTGAGCTTCGACTTCGGTGAATAACACGAGGCTATTTTTCCATTCCTATACATTCAGATTCGAATGTTCGGGAGTAGTAAATACTCTGCGTTCCTTTATTTAAAAAAATATTTTGAAGGTTTCAGGCGTAGCTGTAGTTTCCTTAGCCTCGGAGCGAACCAGACGGTGAGCTACAACGCTGACAACAGAACGTGTTTCGGACAACCGTACTCGTCCGGAAGCCAAGATCTGGAGGCGAGTGTCTAAAAGATGGGCATTTCAATATCCGGCTTCGGATTCGGGATTTCGTCGTCAGATCATTAGAATACGAAATGTTTGATTTCAAATACAGAATTTAATTTTTCGCTTAGATCATTCAAATTTCTCCTGCAGATCATTCAGATGATGAAAGATTTGATTTCGAACACGTTTCCGCGTCAGATAATCCAAATTCGAACGCCATCCCTTCCAGGCGAAGGTACAGTGCGTGGACGGCTACGTCAGCAGTAGGAACGTGACCTCCATAACGGTGACCTGTGAGGCACTGAGCGCGACCGGTTACCGCTGGATCCCCGGGGCTGAGGGCCTTCTGCCGGAGGACCTTGTCTGTGGTGCGTCCCTCTCGTGGTCAATTACAATGGCACTATTTCGTAGAATATTTTCTTCGATTTTTTCATTTGATTAATTTTGTCTATTTATTTTTATCATTCTTAAACTGGTTTCGCCATGGGAGTTTTATTGCCATTTCCCATTCGGCAGAACCGGAATCCGCTGGCGGATCAGCCACCAGAGTCGCCGTCTGCCACGCCTTCCTAACGGCGACGCTTCTGCTCTGCCTCCGCGGCCGCTGAATTAAGGAGAAATATTTTTCCTGAAGCCTTCATAATCCATCTAAGTAAGGACTTTCAGTGCATTCCTTTGCATTAGCTTCTTCGGGCTTATCATGGGAATACGATAATGTTAAACCATTTATGATTACCGAAATACCATTTTTGTATGAAACTGCTTACGTCAAAGAGAAACGTAAAAGCTATAAATAGATTGATAAATGCGTAAATATAGAGATGGATAGGTATACGTGTGTGTATATATATAGGTCAATAGATTAATTGTGTATATAGATAAATAGACAGATAGATTGAGATAGATAGGTAGTAGCTGGCCAAGTCTCTGTTTCCGGTGAATTTCTTTTCTTTTCTGAAAGCGTATCTGTCACCTGCTTAGTTTTTCGTATCATTATTATTCTTTTATTTGATTTCATATTTTAAGTATTACCTTTGATCATCATTGTTGTTTATTTATGAAACAGGTGTCCACGCTTTGCACAGGGAAAGAATGAGAAAACAACTCACACACTGATTTCGGAGGGACAATTAACTCTAATTTAACGAAAAATTTTAACGAAAGTATGAACAATATGTGGAACAGATTTTCGCTCACTATTAATGTATTTTTGTCAAATAAAATGTGTAAGGAAGGTAATATATATCTTTCAACTGAGTATTTTTGGCCAGAAATGATCACAACAAGTAATGAATGACCCTTTCACTCTATTTGCACTCTGTAATGCCATCGCTTCATTACTGTGCTTAATGTCATTTCATTATATTTACGGCAGGAAAGAAAATTTCACATAGACTAGTTCTAATTG